ATGCAGGAGTCCGGCACAACAATGAAACCAAGTTCGGCTCGACACCCTCAGACAGACGGGCAGACGGAGCGGGCACAYCAGACCGCTCAAATGATGCTTCGTACGCTCATCCGTCCGGACCAGAAAGATTGGGTTGACCGCCTCCCCGAMATCGAGTTCGCCTACAACACTTCGGTGCATCCGGCGATCGGCGTGACTCCATTCGAGTTGCACCACGGTGGACGGAAAGGMCGGATCTTCGCCGACCTTCTCCTCCCTCGACCAGCCGACATTGACGCTGCCTGCTCTCCCTCTTCCATCCGGAAGTACAGGGAATTGCTGACTCAAGCCCGCACAAATATGCAAAAGGCTCAAGTCCGCATGCAGCAGCAAGCCAACAGGCGTCGCGTACCATGTCCCATTCGCGCCGGTGATCTGGTTTGGGTCTCCGCGGAAGAGTTTGCACTGGAACAGGATGTTTCACGCGAGCTGCTTCCCAAGTGGTTTGGACCTTGGTCGGTGACAGCAGCCGCGGGCGATGAGCCCGATGGCCCTTCATTTGTGATCAACATTCCAGAGCATCTGACGGTCCATCCGGTCTTCCACACCTCGAAGCTGGCAACTTACACGCCAGCCAAGAGCGACGACTTTCCGGGCCGACGATCGCAGGACCCTCCTTATATGGATGGCCATCAGGAAGTTGACCGCGTCATCTCCGATCGCAAGTACGGCAGCAAGCCGCGACAGTATAAAGTCACATTCAAAGCATGCGATCGCGACGACACTCGGTGGATATCAGGCGCAGATTTGAAAGCATCCGCACCGCTGATCTACGCGCATTATGAAAAGCGCAGGTTAGCTCAGGAAGYTTCACGACCAGCCCCTCCCACCCGGACTGTGGTCCCTCCCTCAGACAGACAGCTTCGCCCTCGCAGGTAAGCTCGGTTCTTCAAGGAGGGGGGGGGGTGTGGCATACTGGGTAGCCACATGGGCCTACAGGGCCCGTCTCGGACATTCAGCCTAAAAGCCYAAAACTTAGGGCTTACAGGCCCCGTTCATTTCAGCCTGGATGCTGAAAAACGAAGGCCTGCAGGCCCTACCTCGTTTCAGCCTATTTCCTGGTCTTTTCAGACCCAGAGTTTTCAGCCTGAAACGGAGGGCCATTTTCAGGCCCTCATTGTTTCGACCTGCCCCTAAGACTCAGGCACGGAAACAGGGATGCGGTACAGGCCCAAAATAGCCTGTTCCTCACATGCTCGAGCAGGAGCTGCAGCTGCAGCCCCTGCCTTCCTTCGGCAGGCTCAAGAGGCACACCCGTAGTACATAGGAAGGACCCATGCACTTCACGGGGATATAGAGGGAGTGTCAGTCAGATAGAAGTAGTCTTCAGGATTCGGCCGCAGCACTCAGGASGAGCGCTGCAGTAGTCTCCAGCGCTAGGCAGTAGTGGTAGCGTTAGCTGTAGTCTTCGGCGCTGGGCGCCATAGCTGTAGCTGTAGTCTTCAGCGCTGGGCGCTGGTAGGTAGTAGGTCGTAGAGTGGAGAGAGGCTGGCGGAGGCMAGCGTTACTTACCTGTGGCGCCATYGCTCCAGCTCCATCTTCGTGGTACCTGCATCAAGGCGCCAACTTCACAGGTTAGTACTGGACACAGAGAGAGAGAGAGAGTTCTTCTTCTTCCTCTTCTAAGTCCACCTTCTCT